GTCATTCAGATTCACATTTTCAATATTATCGAAAATGTTAAAGAGTGATATGTACACGTAATTGCCACTCAGATAGCTGTCAGAGATGTAGTATGATAAATACAGGAATGAAGATTGGGGCTTATTATAAGAGTGCTTCACTTACCGCTTAACCGCCAAGACATAGCCACTGACAGCCTTTACCTCAGTGGCTCCCTGCTCAATGGTTGGCTCCTGGCGTAGCTGCTGCAGACGCTTGAAGACATTTAAATGGCTGAGCGGGGCACCGCGCTCTGTCTGCACATTGCGCTGGGCATAGTCCTGGGCAACTGGCAGCCAGGTGTCGCTGCCGCTGGTGAAACCAGCCAACTTACCGTTCGTCCAGTGCATGGGCGTTCTAGCGGGATCCCGGGACATCGCCATGTAATTCTCCTCGTACCCATTGCAGGCCTGCGGATCCACTGTATCTTCCCACGAGACATAGCCATCTAGCATGCCCAGCTCCTCGCCCTGGTAGGTGATACTGCAGCCGGGCAGCGTGAGCAATAAAATGTTGAACAGATCAACGCGATCAGCTCCAAACCGTGAACCGACGCGGTTCTTATCGTGATTGCCAATCTGTGCGCCGTATCGTCAATTGATTTGATATGCGATTAGTCACATGGTTGTAGAAAGCCTTTGTAGTCAACTTACCACCCAGTTGGCACTCTTGCCTGTCGGCATTAGCGATAGCCAGTTGTTGATCAAGTACTCGTAGTGATAGGCATCGGAGTCCATGTGCAGATTGCTTATCAGCTGGAAATTGAAGGGTATCTGTGCGCCCTCTGCTGTCTCGTTGCCATAGTAGTGCATCACAATCTCAATCGGGGACCAAGTCTCCACCATGAGTATGCTAAGTGTAGCAAGTGCAATTAGTAAGTCTACATTCTGAAAGAGCGTTTAATTAACTTACCGTTCGTCACCGCCGTTCTCCTTCTGGAACTGTTCCAGAATCTCACGCCATTCGTACACTAAATGTGGCGTCTCGGGCTGGTCGACTGTATAGATTTTGTGGGTGTAGCCGTACTCGTCGGGATCATTGGTCCAGTCGTTGCGAGGCTCGTCCGGGTAGTTGCCATTCGCATCGGCTTCAACCTCGAAGGCATGATATATGGCGTCCACGCGGAAGCCGTCGACGCCCTTCTCCAGCCAGAAACGCAGAACATTGTTCATTTCCTCGCGGACGACGGGATTGCGGAAGTTAAAGTCCGGCTGCTTCTTGTGGAACTGATGCAGATAGTACTCCTGGCGTCCCTCATGCCACTCCCAAGCCGAGCCACGGAATACGCTCACCCAGTTGGTTGGCGGCTTGCGTTCACCGTTCTCCAAAAAGCCCGGATGCCAGATGTAATAGTCCTTGTACTTCTCTTCACCGGCAGCAGAGCGAATGAACCAGTCGCATTCGTCGCTCGAATGATTGGGCACAAAGTCCAAGATGATTTTAACATTTAGCTGCTTGGCACGTGCTACCATGTTCTCAAAGTCTTCCATTGTGCCGAAGAGAGGATCCACTTCCTTAAAGTCCGATATATCGTATCCAAAGTCAGCCATAGGTGAGCGCAGGAATGGCGATAACCAAGTCGCTGTCACGCCAATCTCCTTCAGATACTCCAGCTTCTCGGTAACTCCATTCAGATCGCCAATGCCATCTCCATCGCTATCCTTAAAAGAGCGGGGATAGATCTGATAGAAGGAAGCCGTCTGCCACCAGGGCGCAGCCGCATCCACGGCTAACAGGCCTAATCCCAGTAGTAAGGCAATGCTAGACCAAGTAGTCATTTCAAACTAAAGGAGCCCCGATTTCCATCGACCTATTATATGCCTTCAGCTGCTATCGATAATGCCCGAATCTAAATTGTAAAACAATTGGCATTAGCGCTTATCGTTGTTTTTTTGTAGAAGCGTGGGCCCTCTTCACTTGGGGGCGAGTTCAGTGATTTATGAAACGATTAAATTAAAATGGAACAAATTGGGATTCGCGTACTTTTTAAAGTTATAGAAAACCTCTTAGTTTTCGATTTTATCAAGCTTAGATTTAATTTATAAATAATATTCCAAAGACCTGTTGGAATAGGTTAGTACTCAAAAGATAGTACATTAGACAACTTTATTTACTTTATTTACAGTGAACAGAACAAAATATAATTGACAATAAAGCTGATTTATTTATAAAGGATAGACACGGGTTTTCCCTCGATAGCAAATCAAATTTTTTTACTGTTCAATTTGATCAGTTCTATGGGTGCGGGACTTTTATAAATTGAATGTGGGTGGAATTCTTTTGTATACAACGAAAAAAACAAAAAATCCATATGGTCTTTATCTAGACATTTGTTTTGCTTTTCGTCTTCATTTAGCTTGATGTGCACAAACTTAAAAAATATCCCCAGCAAATTGGACTAATAAATTTAACATAAGAACAGCAGTTGTTCGGTCTTGGGCTGGGTCATATTTTTTATGCATTTACGAAATTAATTTGCTGCTTATCTGTCTCATGATCTGCAAACGTGAAACCTGAATAATAGCGATAATAAGTGGCTCCCATAAATACCAACGCCCGTTTTCTTATGGAAGACCAGGCTGAAATCGCTTGGGTCGTAAACATATCAGGCCTAGACCTTCAGATCTAATCAGTGGTCGATAGTTTGCATTATTGGTTGCTTATCACGGCCTAAGCTTATCATCGCTGCTCGCTGCATGGGGCCCAGTGCATAAATAGGGCTACCAATTAATCCGCAGTCGTAGTCAGTATTGCGACAACATGTTGACCAAATCTCTGACACTGTGCTGCCTGCTGGCACTTGTGCTGCCCACGCTCGCCGAGGTGGGCTGGTGGCGCACGGCGCAGTTCTATCAGATCTATCCGCGATCCTTCAAGGACAGCGATGGCGATGGCGTTGGCGATCTCAATGGTAGGCGAGAACAATGAAGGTTGATGAAGGTGTCAATTTGATGTTTTCTTTGATTTGCGTGCAGGTATTACGCAACAGCTGGCCTATCTGAAAGAGATCGGTACTACAGCCACTTGGCTGTCGCCGATTTTCACCTCGCCCATGGCAGACTTTGGCTATGATGTGGCCGATTTCTACGACATTGACCCACTCTTTGGCAACATGGAGGACTTTGAAAAGTTGTTAGAGCGCGCCAAGCAGCTGGACATCAAAATCATTTTGGACTTTGTGCCCAACCACTCGTCTGATGAGTGCGACTGGTTTATACGCTCTGCAGCGGGTGAGGAAGAGTACAAGGACTTCTATGTGTGGCATACCGGCAAGGTGGTCAATGGCATCAGACAGCCACCAACGAATTGGATAAGCGTATTCCGCGGTTCACAGTGGACTTGGCACGAGGGTCGCCAGGCATACTATCTGCACCAGTTCCTTGCCAAGCAGCCGGATCTCAACTACCGCAATCCCAAAGTTGTGGAGGCCATGAAGGATGTCCTTCGATTCTGGCTGCGCAAAGGCGTCTATGGCTTCCGCATCGATGCTGTGCCGCATGTCTTCGAAGTCGCGCCCGACTCCAACGGAGATTGGCCCGATGAGCCAAGGAATGAGTATGTTAGCGATCCGGAGGATTACTCCTATTTGGACCACATCTATACCACAAATCAGCCCGAAACCATTGATTTGGTTTACCAATTCCGCCAGGTCATCGAAGAGATTGATCAGGAGCTGGGTGGTGACGATCGTGTCCTCCTCACCGAGGCATATGCTCCCTTGGATGTGCTGATGCAGTACTACGGCAACAGCACCCACAATGGTTCCCAGATTCCGTTCAACTTTGAGCTGCTCTCAAACATCAACTTCAACTCCGATGCGTATCATTATTCAGAGCTATTGCATAACTGGTTGGACAACATGCCTGCCGATAAGGTGGCCAACTGGGTGCTGGGCAATCATGACCAGAGCCGCATTGGCACGCGCCTGGGCGCCGATCGAATTGATGCTACCAACATGCTGCTGCTGACGCTGCCTGGCATCAGTGTCAATTACCAGGGAGAGGAAATAGGCATGGAAGACGTCTGGATCAGCTGGGAAGACACTGTGGATCCGCAGGCATGCCAGTCCAACCAACAGGAGTTCGAGCGCCTCACACGCGATCCTGTCCGCACGCCATTCCAGTGGAGTGATGAGGAGTTCGCTGGTTTTACTAATGGCTCCAGCACCTGGCTGCCTGTTTCGGACAAATACAAGCTGGTGAATGTGAAACGGGAACGTGGCATTGCTCTCAGTCATCTGAACATCTACAAGCAGCTGCGAGCTCTGCGCGATGAACCCACCCTGAAGCAGGGTGATGTCACGGTCAATGCCATTGGACCCAATGTGCTGGCCTTCAAGCGGTTAGTGACCATATATCTCAGCTAAGACCCATACCCGGCTAAGCGCAATTTATACCTATCCACAGCTCTCTCGCTGGTCACAAGTCATACATTACTGTCATAAACATCAACGATGATGTTGAGTCGGTTAATCTGGATTCTGTTTTTACGGAACTCAGCTCACAACTGAGCTATGTTGTGGTCAATGACAAGAGTGCGCGTCGCAAGAAGTAAGCTATACTTTCAAGATACTGTCAATTTACTCTACAAATTTTCCTTTTTCTCTCGTTTATTTCTCGTTCTTGTTTTCTGTAGTGATGTGACCTATGCCAATTCGGTGCTCTTGATGCCCAAGGAAGCCATTGTTCTAAGCACTATTTAATTTCCTATTTTCCAAAACTCATTTCGCTTATATTATATTTCGTGACAATCTCTAACACAAAAAGATGTTTGAAATACAAATTACAATAAAAAAAATCATACAAAAATTATACACTGATTGCAACTCCGCACTTTTTTAAAATAGTTTGTTATCTCAGCTTATCAGCCTATTAAGTTTATTCAATTAACATTATCAAACTTAACAAGTAAGAGGTTCTAGTCGGAAGCTCCCGACTCTCAGAAGACAGCAATTCTGTTCATCTATAATTTACATCTTAAGTCCATATTAAGAAGCGTTTGTAAATAGTTTATTGAAAAACACATCAAGTGTTGAAGTTACAATTCTTTCGAGTAATTGCCCACTCAAAGTCGAATTGGACTTTGTATTTACTACCCAGTTTCCACTGGCATGTGGCGAAAGACTGTTTGTATAGTCAGGCACATGGCTGTAGGCCCATTTTTAAATTTAATCTTTACATGGATCATAAAATGCACTGATTAGGCTAAAAAGAAATCCGTGAATCAAGCCAACCACCGCAGCACGATTGCTTCATAGGGCATTAGCACCAGTCTTTCTCTCAGATCAATCGTCTCCCTGTAATAATTATCGTTAGTTCATGGGAGGCAGCCTACATACTAGACAAACTTACCCTGGTGTGTGCAAGGAGTAGGCGGTTACAAGCACATACTCATAGACCTTATTAGACAGACCCTCGAGAATTTCGATACTATTGCCCATGTTGACGAAAATACGGTACTCCTCACTGCGTTTGTTGGTTCTATAACAAGGTTAATTTATGTTATACTATATTTCTAACGCAGTAACTCATCACTTACCGCACAATCTGCAGCACCTGTTCTGTGACCGCCTCGTAGGAGAAGCCACCCTCCTCCTTGAAAGCCAGAAACGCAGAGCTGCTCTTCAGCTGCTGGAGACTCTTAAATATTTGGAGCGAGGAACGCGCCACGCCTCTTTCGGTTTGCACATTGTAACGGGCATAGTCGGGACTGACGGGAAGCCAGGTATTCTCAGCTGTGGAGAAGTCGGCGTTCTTCACAGGAGCCCATTGCATGGGCGTTCGTTCGCCATCGCGGTCGTCGCAGGAGATCTCCGTGCACTCAGTCTCTACGTTGGACATGCCGATCTCCTCACCGTAGTAGGTGACCGAGGCACCTGGCAGCGCGTTCACAATCACATTGAGCAGATCCACTTTGTGTGCGCCCATGCGATTGGCCACGCGCTGTGTGTCATGGTTTCCCACAACCCAATTGGCTGTCTGATGTTGCGTCCACATGGTCTGCATCCAGTAGTCAATGGAACCGACCACATCCTTTGCTGTCGAGTAGCCGCTGAGATACATCAGCTGGAAGTTCATGGGCAGCTGTGTGCCGAGCCGCGTTCCATTCCCAAAGTAGGCGCTCAGGGTTTCCACCGGACTGTACGCCTCTGCGAGCAGTACTCGGGTCGGGCCACCATGCTGTGCCTGATACTGCACCAGGTAATCGCGCCACTCGTACATTAACTGTACTGTTTCTGGTTGGTCCTTGGTGTAGATATGATCTAGATAGTCGTAGCTGTTTGGATCGTTATTCCAATCGTTGATGGGCTCGTCTCGATAGCTGCCGTCGGCATTACGATGTTCGTAGATGTGTGGCACGGCATCAATGCGAAAGCCGTCAACGCCACGGTCCAGCCAGAAGCCCAGCACGTCCAGCATGTGCTCACGCACCATGGGACTACTGAAGTTCAGATCGGGCTGCTTCACCTGAAACTGGTGCAGGAAGTACTGCTGGCGCACTTCATTCCACGTCCACTGTGAGCCGCCAAAGACGCTCACCCAATTGCTGGGCGGCTCGCGTTCACCTGTCTCCGCATTCAGCTTACCGTCGTGCCACACATAAAAGTCATCGTAGCCGTCCTGCCGATTGATAGACTTTTGGAACCACTCGCACTCATCGCTCGAATGATTGGGCACAAAGTCCAATATAATCTTCAGGTTCAGCGCCTTGGCCTGCACCATCATGGCATCGAAGTCAGCAAGCGTGCCGAAGATCGGATCGACTTCTGTAAAGTTGGATATATCATATCCAAAATCGGACATGGGTGACTTAAATATGGGCGATAGCCAAGTGGCTGTGATCCCGATTTCCTTCAAATAGCCCAGACGCTTTGTTATGCCATTCAAATCGCCAATGCCATCGCCATCACTGTCCTGAAAGGATCGCGGATAAATCTGATAGAGCGCGGCATTCTCCCACCAATCAATGTCCGTCGAGGCTGCTGTTGTGCCTATTAAGAGCGCCGCGAGTAGCCCAAGAAGTAATCGCGTTGACATTTCGCTCGCGTTTGAGTGTCGCAAAATCAATTAGTTAATAACAATTGCTTTTTTCCTTGTTGCGATAGGGATTGCAGCGATAAGGCTAAACTCAACAACGCCAGCGCACTCGAATATGGCATACATGGCCCACAGAGCACATGGGTAATCTGCCCACTTTTATGACATTCTTGTTAGATTACACAAGTTGCGGTTGTGCTTTATAACACCCTCTGCCCAAAGTTATCAAGAGTATATTGGACTTTTGCAATGCCAATCTGTTCTTCTGTCTATAAGAGTGAGATGCGCAATTTCGACGCCAACTCTGTGCTCTACAAGTAGATATCTTTATATAGATTTCTTTAATTTTAGACACGGCTTTTATTTTTAGCACATTTGTTTCTTTTACTCATTCTCGAAGTCATTATCAACTAAGATAAAAATATCACCATCTTAAGCTTGAAACAGTAATTGCAAGCAATCTTGCAATTGGTATCGTTGGACTCTAATTTTCTTACATGTACCCTGTTCTCATCAATGTAGCATGCTAAAAATATATATCTTTTAACATAAATTGGTTCTGACTATTTGACTAACTGACTTTCGTAAGAGCTAGGAAGTTGGAATTTCCACAATAGGTTAAGTGATGCAGGTGCACTTTAAGGCGGAGTTTTGGGAAATTCTAACCGCGAGTATATTTTCGAATTCAGAATGTTTTACTAACGATTCATAAGAATCGTATATAGAAGCAAGGTATCTTATAGTCGAGCACTCTTGTCTGTTAGGGATATGCGTATGCGTCGATGGTGATGTCGATACACTTGCCAACTGATTGTGTCCCCTGCGGAATCACAAAAGCTGCCATAAAGTGGTTTTATGTGACCCGAGCATAACATTCAGATACCCAGCGGCTTTAGCTTTTGCATTTACGACGGTTGACCGAAAGGTTTGCTGAACAGCGAACAGTTCTTAAAGTCTTTTAATTGTTTAAAACAACAGTGTTTTCCCAGGTGAATCATGTCTAGATAGCGATCCAATTAAACCATTAAGACATGCAAACGAATGTCACAAGTTCTGCTATTAATTTATGACTTTAAAAGTAACAAAAATTTGATAATGTTTATCTGAGAAGTCGTCGCTTATAAATAATAATTTGTCAGGCCGATAAATATTTTTAAATAGTTTCAATTTCATATTGACTTACACTCAATGGGAAATAAGCCCAATTTGATGGCTAGGATGTTGACATACCACAGTCAGTTTTTTTTTTTTTATATAAAGTAGTGTGGAATTGCCCTCGAATGATGCATGACAGAACGGAACATAAAGATTTATCCTTGACGCAATAAAAGCCAACGGTCGAAAAGCTCATGTACGTGTCCTTCTGGCCACTTGACAGCTGTCAACTGTGACCGACGACCGCTCACTTGACATTTCAAAAGTGCTCGACTTTATTTTGACAAATTTTTTGCCAGCCCCCGGCCATTAATAACTTGATGTGCTTTTAAATAAATTACATTGCTTAAAATTTATACTTAGTTAGTTAATGACTGGAATTAAACGTCCAAATGTGCACCCAGGAAAAGCCTGACCAAAATTCTTTATAGCAAATTTCATTCTACACGTTCGCCACATGGGTAGCAACACATTTGCTTTAGCCTCATCAGGGCGACGGGGTAGCTACAGTGCCTGGCCCAGAGCCTGAGACCATTGACGTTGCGGTTCTTTTTTTTTTTTGAATTCAATTAATGTATTCGCGCTTATTTTGCAGCTTTAATTATTTTTCGGTCAGGTTTTTGAGTATTTACCTTAAATAAAAATAAAATAAACACAATAAAAATAAAATTTTATAAAAGCTGTATTAGCTTTATGCAACTAAAATGTTTTAAATGTTAAGCCCTGCCGTAAGCCATAAGATTAATTAAAACATTCCAAATTTAAATGAGTAAAATTGTGTAAAATAAATGGATAAAGTCTACCTTGTAACTAACTATTTCGATTCGGCATAAAAAGAAAAAAATATTTCAATTCGTTTCTATTGCAACTCTGTATCAATTGGTAGAAGATTATTTTTCCTTTACTGTGCTTGGTGACAACAAATTCGATGTTCAAAATGATTTTTGATTGTCCGAAGGCAAAATGACGATGACTCAATTGAGTATACATTGGTTTAATTTCAATAGGTTTTAATTTTAGTTTCTAATTTGTGTTCGATTTGAAAACCTATTAATGATACCTTTCATTAATATATATTGGGATTTATATTATCCCGAAAAGTTTGATTGCAATCGACATCTTGAAAGGGCACGTCTAGATTCCATATATACTTTTGTATTTTTATTTTTGTCCAATTGTTTTAATAGGACATACTCCAAGTTATGTCTATTTAATCAGCCATTAATCAATACTGTTATTTGAGATGTAGATCATTTTGTTTATTCTACAATCTTTAAAAATATATAAAAGTAATTATATGGTTTACTTTAAAGTTTTGAGATTAAAAACCATATCTATAAATATACTAACACAGTTTTTAATGTCAATCTTATTAAATTTAATAGAATAGATTCGAGGTCTAAGAACCCTAACTCGAACCAATTATGGAAAATTTGCAATTTGATGATTACCAATCTCCATTGCCTATTAGAAACCGGATCTGGTCAGATTCAAGGGGCTCGTGACACACTGATACTCTGTTGTTTTGAAATGACAACGGGTTTGGGGTTTGAGCTGAACTCGTTTGATTCGGCCGTTGTTTATCCATTGTTAATGCATTAATTTTAATTTTAAGATTATAACCGTACATTGTTTTTTGGAACTGTTTCTAAGCGAATATATTGGAAGGGGGCTCGACGGGTACATCAATAACTCAGAGCGATAACTGTGCGATGGGAACAAGTCATAAACTGGACACAATTTATATGGGGCAACACCCACTGAAGTTGTATAAAAGCGTGTGCCTGGTCAAGGTGGAGCATCAGTCAACGTTTGTTCTCTACGTTCTACAACTGCACCACATCCCAATCAAGATGTTCAAATTCGTAAGTAGAGCGAACTGAATGAAAGATCGGTAATAATTCCAAACTAATCCATCTATCCTTAGGTGATGATCTGTGCTGTTATCGGCCTGGCCGCCGCTGTGCACCACCCAATAGAACACCGCCCAGTGCCCCACCATCCAGTGAAGGTATCCCACCCTGAGCCACACCCTGCACCACACCCTGCACCACACCCAGTGCCCGTTCATCATGGTGAGGAGGTTCACGCTGATGTTGTTTCCCGCAAGGATGATATTCGCCCAGATGGCTTCGACTCAAGCCTTGAGACCACCAACCACATCACTCGCTCAGAGAGCGGTGATGAGCATGGAAACATCCACGGCAGCTTCGGCTGGATCTCCCCCGAAGGCGAGCACATTGATATCAAGTACGTTGCTGATGAGCACGGCTACCAGCCATCGGGCGCTGCCATCCCCGCCATCCCCGAAGCCATCGCACGCTCCATTGCATGGAACGAGGCGCATCCCCAAGCCCCCGAGCCCCACAACCCCCATAGCGTTCCCCATAGCGCTCCCCATGGCTCTCACCATTAAGGCAAATTCAGCTCCTAAGCTGATTGTTTATAGTGGACTTGGAACGTACAACGGACTAGTCTCAGATATTTCTCGATAGCCTTTAAGTTCTTCACACCTAAACAATGTTTTTCTTAAATAAGTTTAATAAATACGTAGTTGCATCAAATTGAATCCCGCATATTTTTAATTCATAGATACAATATAATATACATTTGCATATCGATTTCAGCCAGTATTCAAAGAATCCGAAGAAGCAATTGTTGTAAATTCTTTCTTTCACATTCATGTGGACTCATATAAAAATAAAGATATATAAAGAAGGTACGTACAAAAAAAAACAAATTTTGTAGTGATACGAATTTTGCAATGCAGCTTCTAATGAAAGATGGTGCCATAATTATCAGCACTCAATATAATTTTGATATTTAAAGTACAATAAATGATTCAACTATATAACACATATGAATATACTTATTAAACTATATTCACCTGTGTCATTCGCAAGGTTATCCAACAATTATGACAAATAGCTTACTTGATAAAAAAATATTGTTTTAAACTTTAACTATTTAATGGCTCTTAGAGTTATCTTTTAATTGTTTTCCCCTAGAAGTAAACCCTTTTGGTTTAAGTATTCTGACAATTCCTCGTTACTTCCTATCAGCTGATTATTGCCCAGTGACTAAAACCGCTGCACTTCAGTTGCAGCAAAAACAACGCGAGAAATACAAATTTTCCACTATCACAAATCGCTGTTGGGTAACATTAAAATCCAATGTGAAATCACCTTTTTTGATTTTCTATAGTAAAGTGCTTAAAAACAATGACATTCGAGCGGGGTATTATTTTCAGCATGGAAGCGCATGAACCCATGCGGGCGAGCTGTTTACCCAGCAATCGAAATGCCCACTCCAAGTGGGCAAAAACTTATTGGGCAAGATCTTATCAATCGGCATAAAAGGCCCTAGTCGGTTTTTAGTTTGAACAAATTCATTCAACATGCGATTGCTGACAGTTGTTGCGATCCTGGCTGCAGTGCTGGGCTTCGCTAGTGCCACTGAGTGGTGGGAGAGTGGAAACTATTATCAGATATATCCGCGCTCTTTTCGCGATTCCGATGGAGACGGTATTGGAGATCTGAATGGTGTTACCGAGAAGCTGCAGTACTTGAAGGACATCGGCTTCACCGCTACTTGGTTGTCGCCCATTTTCAAGTCACCAATGGTGGACTTTGGCTACGACATTGCAGACTTTTATCAGATACATCCGGAATATGGCACCATGGAGGACTTTGATCGCATGATTGCACGCGCCAAGGAGGTGGGCATTAAAATAATATTGGACTTTGTGCCCAATCACTCAAGTGACCAAAACGAGTGGTTCATCAAGTCGGTGAATAGTGATCCTGATTACAAGGACTTTTATGTCTGGCACGATGGCAAAATCAATGAGGAAACCGGCGAGCGTGAGCCTCCAAGCAATTGGAATTCGGTATTTCGGTACAGCGCCTGGGAATGGAACGATGTTAGGCAGCAGTATTATCTCCATCAATTTGCTACGGCGCAGCCGGATTTGAACTATCGCAATCCTGCAGTGGTAAACGAGATGAAAAATGTGCTCAGATTCTGGTTATCCAAGGGCGTTGCCGGATTCCGCATTGATGCAATACCCTATCTCTTTGAAATCGACCTGGATCGCTACAATCAGTATCCTGATGAGGCGCTCTCTAATGACACCAGCTGTCCTGATCCGGACGATGCCTGCTATCTAACGCACGTTTACGTCCAAGACCAGCCCGAGACTGTCGACATGATCTATCAATGGCGTGAGGTTGTCGACGAGTACCGCAAGGAACACGGCGGGGAGCAGCGTTTGCTTATGACAGAGGCCTATACCAGCTTCGAAAATATGATTAAATTCTACGGTGATGGCGTTCGCAATGGCTCGCATATTCCTTTCAACTTTGACTTTCTTTCGAACATTAACAACGCCTCTACGGCTAACGAATACGTGGAACACATAGAAAAGTGGCTGAACGCCATGCCTGCTGGAGTCTATGCCAATTGGGTACTGGGCAATCATGACAACAAACGTGTCGCTTCACGATTTGGTGTGCAGCGTATAGATTTGATAAACATTCTGCTCCAGACCTTGCCCGGCCATGCAGTCACGTACAATGGCGAGGAGCTTGGCATGACCGATGTATTCATCAGTTGGGAGGACACTGTGGATCCTCAGGCCTGCAACTCTGATCCGGATACCTACTATGATCGGTCTCGTGATCCCGCCCGGTCACCCTACCAATGGGATGCATCTTCAAAGGCGGGTGAGTAGCACTCTAACCAATTGTGCGTTGCCTGTTTCTTTTCCTGTGATTTTGCATTATTTGCTCAGGTTTCACAAGTGCTGATCACACCTGGCTCCCAGTTTCGGATGACTATAAGACTAATAATGCTTTGCAACAGCTACGCGCACCACACTCGCATCTGCAAATCTTCAAGACTCTAGTGCGTCTGCGTCAGGAGCCCTCTTTCCGTGCTGGTGCGATCAAGATTCAAGCTCTGGATGATGATATCATTGTCTACTCACGGTACCTAGTTTAACCTCTTGAGAAGGGCTCACTCCTAACAATTTCCTTTAATTTTCCAGGCAAAAGGAAGGCAGCGATCTATATATCGTAGTCCTGAATCTAGGCAATAGCGACAAGACTATTGACCTCACCCAGCACTTTACCTTGGGCACGGATGCGGAGGTCATAACCAGCTCGTTACAATCCCAGTACATAAATGGAGAAACCGTCAAGACTGCAGCCTTTGTTGCCAATGGCAATGTAGGCACCGTTTTGGTAGCCATTAACTAAAGTTCCAGCATAGTCAGCTTCTAACTTTCTTAACATTAAATGATAATAAATCGTATTATGAGATAACATAAAACAAACCCTGCGAGTCTATTTTCTTTCACGCAAGCGGAGATGAAGACCATTCTCTGATTTTAAAGTTAGTACGGCTGACAAGATGGGATCGTATTTGTGACCTTGGCTCTCCTTTTTTTCTTTCTCCTCCTTGGGCAGACCCACATAAGTGTTCAGATAGCCATCCTTGGAAACAAGCTCATCCACTGCGGGCAATATTTCGAAGGTTCGCACTAGCTTTGATACCACAGTCTTGATCTCCAACAGTGCAAACTTTTGTCCAATGCAGTTACGTGGACCTGCGCTGAAGGGCAAATACTCGAAAGGTCCGGGTTTTTCCGTCTCGAATCGTTCCGGATAGAATCGATGTGGTTCCTTGAAAGTGCGATCGTCATAGCCCAGAATAATAAGTGCTAGATTTAGAGTAGTGCCTTTAGGCATTGTGGTGCCGTCTATTAAAAGTGAGAAAGAGCGAGAAAAAAAAGGCTAAAAGCTGAGACTTTTTGTCGAAATTCGCTTCCTTACGTATCACATAATCTTTCTCAGTGTATCGACCAATGAAGGGAACACTGGGGTAGACTCTCTGCGCCTCCTTAATGAACAAGTCCAAGTATTTCATCTCTGCGATTTCCTGGAATGTGGCATCCCGATGCATCTCATTGCCCATGACAGATCGCTGTTCCTCAAAAAGCTTACGCTTTAGTAAGTGAAGGGGAAAAAATAGATTAGTCAACTTTTAGGCAGCTCACATAATTGCATATTACCTGTTCCTCCGGAAACCTGGATAGTAAGTAGCCAGCAAATGCCACGCCCGACGTCGTCGTGTCGTGTCCCTCAAACATAAATGTGGAGACCTCTTCGTATATCTCCTGCTGATTCAAAGGACGCCCGTCAATGGTAGACGAAAGAAGGGTGTCCAGAAAAGCCATCTTCTTACGTGAGAATTCGTTGTCTTCCGTTTTCTTGGCGATACCCGTGCGATGAGCCTCAATACGCTTCTCGATTATTTCGTTGGTAAAGTCTTGTAAAATTTTCAAGGTCTTCGCATTGGCAGGATAATCTGGAGCTAACCGATAAAGCAGCTCGGAACGCTTAAAGGGGTGGAATGCCCGCATGTTCAAGTTGTAACACATGCTATAGAAACAAAAATCATTTAAATGACGCAAGAGAGTTGCAAGAGGGAACTCACTCTTTAAAAGCCTTCACCACCTCGACGGTGTCGCGCTGTTCAATGGCATTAATGGGAACACCCATCGCTGTGTCGCAGATGACGTCCAACGTCAAATAATGTGTTTCGTCCTGGAAATCTATAATACTGTCACCAGCCGACACTTTCTTGAGTCGCTTGATGAATTTGGTTGAGTTTTCATTCATGACTTGGTGAAAATCTTGGAGGATATTAAAGTGGAAGGCGGGCGTTATCATCTTGCGGTGCTTATGCCATTTGCTGCCGGTGCTCGTGAGCAGTCCTTCGCCCAGCCAAGGATGTAACATATCGTAAATATCCGATTTTTTTATTAACGTATTGCTGTTCATTATGACCTGATAATATAGGAATGTCTATCAAGAAGGCTTTCAAATATTTTGCTTATGACCTACCTCCAAATGTTTGGGATTAGCCACCAAAATGTTGGCATAATACCCTATCCATATGCGAAAGTTATCCTTATCATATTTGTGCCACCATTCGAAGAAAGTGTTCAGGATTTCTATGTATATTTAACATAGGAAAAAAGAAGAAGAGGAAACGTATTAAACGGTTATTGTTTTAAATTGAGTGTGCAATTATAGATAATTTCATAGATAAACATACAAGACGTTAATATAAGATGGTTATAATTTAACTAATATTGCAATTAATTTACAGCTGCAATTATTACAAGCTACGTTTATCAATTTTCAATTAGTTAAGCCCTTCGTGATTGGCAGTTGAATCGCACTCTTAATTTAAATTATATAGCCGTCGAATCTAATCGCATACAATCCAAATCTAATGCATATCGTGCAGGGCCACTTGAGATTGTGATGTCAAAGCTCAAAGGCGCAGTAGCCAGTTAGTCTTATTAGTTATAATAATAATTAAAATATAAAAATAATAATGAAATATAATAATCATTTTGATATATTTGAAAAGCAGGCAATCACTGTTTGTAAAAC